CTGATAAGGTCAGTGAAATCCCCTCAGGATTTATCCTGAGATCCCGTACCTCAGATTGTAGAACCTTTGTCAGTGTCAGCCATGTGGATGAGTGCTTGGCCAATGTGTTCTCTGTGAAAGCCTGAGAGAATGTTTTCTCTCCAGGTGGCTCTCTTTAGGCACACTCTACATCATCGATCACTTTCCTCTTTGACCCCATAATCTCCTTGATCAGAAAATTTGGGACACTACTGAGTTACATTACATTAAAGTACAAGTTCTTATATGTCCTGAGTCTTAATTGACCTTAGAAGGCTAGGGCCAAAATGTTGGCTTTCCTTGTGGCCCTCCTTTTTCTCTAATTTTGGACTGCAAACTTAGGTTGTAAACCATCCAGGGGACAAGGTTATTGTTATTACCATATAACCTAGGCTGTTAAGCTGAACCTCACTATCTGTCTGAATATCAAACATCTTAGGCATAACATGGAACAGCTATTTTTCATCAAGTATTGATATGTTCAACTTTAAGTCCCTATAGAATATGATGAAAAAACATTTAAAAATTAGAATATATTTTTAAAAATAGGGATAAAGAATTATACACTTCTTATGTTTACACATAAGTCCAAAAATCCAACCATATGCAACCTTGAAGCAGGACAGTCCCACAATATTCCTTTTCCTATCTCATGCCTGCATTCACCACCCCTTACTTTTTGAACAATCATCTATCCAAGAGACAGCACAGCAGCAACTGGCATGTCATGACAAGCAGCCCATATTCAGAAGACCAGAATGACAGGCACTCCAAGCATGAAACTACTATTACAGATTACAATCTGCCGTGCAGTTACTTAGTTCACAGGTACCAGTATATATAGTTAAGTCAGGGGGAGAATCTTTCCAAGTAACAGCTAGATTTAAAAAATCTTCTGGAGATTCTCAGGATCATTGCCTTGCCCATCTTATACATATAACTGTATGGCTTGACATTGTCATGTTTCCTAGCTCTTCTCCTTTCCCTCTTTTGGTTAGTTAGTCTTCGAGATCCTGCTTTTCTTTTACTTGTAGTATACCTTTCTATTTGTATTTCTCCTTTTGAGTTCTTATACTAGGGAAACTATACGATATTTCCGCATGTGTGAAGGCATTATTTCATTCATGAGTATATGTTCAAGTGGCATCCACATCAATATAAAAGCTGCAGTACTAGCCCAGGTCCGGTGAGTGTGTGGGAGAGCTTCTGGCTACCCTGTACCGGCGGAACCAACTCTGGGTCCCAGCCTAAGCGCAGCGTGGGTGAGTCCATCTTCCACCCCCTTGGGATGCCTCCCAGCACTCTGCAGCACCTCCCCCACCCCGACGGCTAGTAGGAATTTCTGCCTCCTTCCAGGAACCAACAAATCCAGTCCTAGCCCAGGTCCGGTGAGTGTGTGGGAGAGCTTCCCCCTACCCTGCGCCGGCGGGACCCACTCCTGGTCCCAGCCCAGGCGCAGCATGGGTGTGACCATCTTCCACCCCCTTGGGACTCCCATCCCAGACACAGTGAGTGTGTGGGAGAGCTGCCTCTCCCCCCTACTCCACCTTGTCCTTTCCAGGCTCAGCTCAGACCTGGCATACAGGCCTGGGGTGTAACCCTGCAGCTGCAATCACTACAGAGAGGGTAGAGGATAGAATCACCCAGCTTGTCCAGGAGCAGAACATCTTGCCACAGGGGCACACAGGTTCACCCTTAAGGGCAGCAGTGGGAAGGAGCTGAGCACAGCAGCCAGACCCAAGTCAGGCACAGCTGGATAAATCCAGACTTTGTAGATCTGCACCTGAACTTCAGTACGTGCTAAGGGTATAACTACAACAAAGATCTACAACAAAAGTCAGAAGACAGTGCTACACAAAATGATGAGAAGAAACAAAATGCAACCACAGAACCCAACCCCACCCATAAAAAGTGCAGAGGACACTAACACAGAACAAATTGGGAATCACATAGCTGAAAGCAATGAATCAACGGCTTCTGAAATAAAGAAACAGCTGCAGAAAGGTATAGAGGAACTCAGTTTGGAAATAAAAAAAGAAATCCCTTAATTAGTAACATCTGCAGTATAGAATCAAATGCAGAAACATGTGGGGGAAACCCAGTGCCCACCCAGAACAAGTGCAGAGGACACTAACTTGGCTCAAATGCATGAATTAATAGCGTCGATAGTAAATAAACAACAGCAGAAATATATAAAGGAAATCAGAGCGCAATTCTTTTCTGAAAAAAAAAAGAATTCTCAGAACTCATAGCATCTGAAGTAAAGAACAAACTACAGAAACATAGGGAGGAAACCCAAGCTGAAGAAATCACTGCAGTAAATGAATTTATAACTGCTTCTAAAGAAGACATTGATAAAAAAATAGAGGGGATTAGAAAAATGACAGATTCCTTGAATGAGCAATTCAGGAAAGAAATAGATCCCATGAAGCAGAGTCAAAGAGATATAGAGGAAATTAAAACCTCAATCACAAGCTTGCAAAACCGTTTAAGTGAAAGTGAAGACAGAGTTTCAGATCTTGAAGATGCTGGTGCAGCTA